TGCAAAGAGTGTAGACAGGCTTGAATTGAGAGAGAACAGTTAACAGAAATAGGCCTGTGTTTCAGCTGGGCTTGCAGATTTAGCTGATATTAGCCATACATGGTAGTCTCTTGAAGTGATTTACAAGCTGAGCCAGCTCCAAACATAGCACAGGTCAATATTAATGAACACCACAAATGAGAGCAGAAGATTTCTGTGTGAAGAGATGAGAGTGAATGGTTAAGCTCTGTGAGCAATTGGCAAAAGTACGATCTTAGGGTACAAAAAAGGTTATTGTTCAGAAGGGAGCTGGGGGTAACTGTCTTCCCATTATCTGGGGAGTACGATCTTAGGGTACAAAAAAGGTTATTGTTCAGAAGGGAGCTGGGGGTAACTGTCTTCCCATTATCTGGGGAGTACGATCTTAGGGTACAAAAAAGGTTATTGCTCAGAAGGGAGCTGGGGGTAACTGTCTTCCCATTATCTGGGGAGATCAGACCGTGATGTCTTATCTTAAAAAGCACCTCTGTAATAAACAGGTGCATGATAGCATTGCTCAGTAAATGACTGAGAAGAGTCACTCACAGACCTCAAATTTATGGATCTGCATTTGACTCCGTTAATTCTGTATCTCTTTACGAAGGAGCCAACACTCCAGATGTGCCTTCCCAGTGTTGAGTGAAGAGGAAGGATCGTCTCCCTCAAGCAGATGATAACACCCTTCCCCAGCTCAGGAAGTTGTTGGATTTGTTTGGGTGCATCACTGGCTCATGGTTAGCTTGGTGACTCCCAGGATCCTTCTCTGCAGAACTGATTTCCAGCTGGTGGACCTCCAGGCACTCCTGGTGCCTGGGATTATTCCTACCCAGATGCAATACTTTGTGTTTTCCTTCACTGAAATTACTGAGATTCTCCTCAGCCCAATTCTCCAGCCTGTTCAGATCCTCCTGAATGCCAGCACAACCCTCTAGAGTACCAGCCTCTCCTCTCAGTTTGGTATCATCTGTGAACATGCTGAGGAACTCTGTTCCAGTGTCCAGGTAATTAATGAAGAATACTAGCACCCACCATCACCCGTAGCGTATATCTCTACAGACTTGCCTCTAACTGGACGGTGTTGAGTCACCACTCCCTGAATCCCAGCCATTTGGACAGTTTTAAATCCATGTCACTGTTCACTTATTTAGCCTGTATGCTGTTAGCTTGCCTATGAGGACATTATGGTATACAGATGCTTCAAATTATGTTGGATGAATTTTTCTTAGATTAATATCACAAATTTTCAAATACATTTGAGTACATTAAGGTATGTGTAAGTATCTAATGGGATCTTAAATGCAGCTAGATTGATTTTTCAGATTGTGTTTAGTACCAACCTTTGTAAAACTAAATTGAGTCAGTTTTGTAATGGTGTACAATTTACTGTGGCAGTCAGCTTACTTCTTGAATGTATAGGTCATTACCTAACAGCATCCCTGAAAGTCTGTATGACCAGAATTATAATTCTAACAGCACTGTCCCAATGTTACCCTTACTTTGGAAATTCAAGTAAGCACCTTGCTCCATGAATTTGCTTATAATGAACGGACCAGTGTCTAGTTATGTTGCTTCAAGAACATAACTAGACGCTATTTTAATTAAAATTAGCAAATATGTCTGAAGGTGATAGACTCCACACTCCACAAATGATCAGTCCTGGCAACAGTTTTTTATGATTTATCTCCAAATGTTTGTGGATTGCCTGGGCTGTCATTTCAAAATGTGTTACTGACTCATGTTAATTGACAGTTACTCTGAGTGGGTTAAATAGAAGCTGTTAGTCTACAAACTATTTCCTGGGACTGCACACTGAGATCTGATTTTCAAATCTGGGAAAAACACAAAACAGGATACCTGATAATCCACAGTAAAGTCAAACCGTGCACGTACTATATACATTCATACTACTCCGCAAGTGTACATATACATACTACTATAGTAAATTCCACCACAGCCTAACAGTGACATCTTTAAGGTCTTGAGTAGCAAGCAACTTTCTTGCTGCTGGCAGGCTCATAGGCCCCTATGGGGTTTTGTTAACACACTAGCAAAAACTCACAACACGAGGTGCCCATGTCAGTGCTGTTCCTCCTTGTTTGAACTGCATTTCACTCAGTTGTCTGTTGCTGATGAAATCATAGATACGCACAGATCCTGTGTGGAAACGAGACACCTGCAATGTCACTTACATGTTAAGATTTATGGAGAAATGTTTATTCATTTGAATCCAAAGCTGGATTCTCCAACTATCAAATGCCCTCCTGGAAAGACATGATTGACAGTCAAGAGTGCCAGAGCTAGCATGGTGCTCATGAATAAAACATAAGGTTTCTTCACCCATCAACTTACACACTCCCAAGAGTCGTCAGGGCTAAGAGTTGTAATGAGAAGTCCCTTGCTGACCACCATCTGTATAGTTTTCAAGTAATCACAGAACTGTAGCATACTGTAAGGAAAATCTGTACTGACAACACAGGAAAAGGTGATATACTACTACTTGGTATTGCTCAGGGAGGAATATATTTAAATGGATGAAAATGGGAGATTGTCCAAAGAAAGATTTCACCAGAGGTGAAATTAATAGATTCATACACACACACACTGGTCTGCATGAAATTCCATTCCAGCTAGCGTATATCCTAAGCGTCATTCACTCAACAGATAGTAGCTTGTCTTCAAGCTAGAAGAGCATGGACATTGCACAACACAGACAAATGAGGAGCTACTGCTGACAAGAATTAAGTTAAAGACCTTGTAGCATGTTCTGAGAAGTGTAAATAACATTGTTAATGTTGTGGCCAGGGATTGTTCTCTCAAAGCATGATAAAGTTACCTGTGAGATGGCTACTTTTCAATATTTGTATGTTAAATAAACATGTCTGTAACTATGTTAGCTGTTGCTGAGAGCATGATAGCTGTTGCATTTTCTAAGGAAGCCACAAATATTAGTATTCACAGACTTACACTATGGTACAGATGTATATAATTCCTTACAAAACAAAAATCCCAACACTTATCGATCCAGAGCCCTGAATACAAATGCTGTTATTCAAACCAAATGTCTCATCCTGTAAGCCATTCCCTCAGAACAAACAGAATTGACAAAGTTTCCCATTAAAAACTTCTCTTGTTCAAATGCCAGGCTTTTAAAATTAAGCAGTCTTAATGAATTACTTCAAAACATTAATGATTTGTGTTAACTAGAACTGATCCCAGGAATAATAATTTTCTGCCAAGTGACTTTTCAAGAACAAATACACAACTTCAATTCAAAACAGAATAGTTCCAAACCAAACATCATTGCTCTTCAAAAACAGAAATTACACTGCTATGAGAGGAAAGGAATAGTGTCCTTTTGACTTACGGTCAAGAGCAGTGGTGGCCAAAAGGTATGTGATGGGAGAGACACTCATGGCCTCAATCCTTCCAGAGTGAAAGGTAAAAAGGCACTCTGGATCTTGGGTCTGCAGTGCACAAGAGAAGAACAGAAATTCTGTTACATTCTAGAGCTGGTATCACCAGCTATAGTATTAGCAAGTAAACGTGCAGCAAGCCTGGAGAATCTAGGCAGGTGTTATTTGTGTGAACAAAATTTGGCATGAATAAGGTACCTATATGCAATTTTTGCAATTCTTGTTTTGTTTTGTTTTTTAATGAAATGTTCATAAGAAGATTATGAGAAAAACTAGTGTAGGAACATTAAGTTAATTTAAAATGTCATCATTTTATATGCAAAAATAAAGGGGAATGCCTTTCATTAAGAGGTTTCAGGCTTGGAATTAGTATTTTTAACACAGAATTGTTGCTCTGAACACAACAAAAAAAAAAATGCTCTAAAGCCTAGGACTTATGCTATGTGGGAAATAATTTCATCATTCAAGGAATTCTAGGTTTTGTTATGCAATTTTGATATTAGTTTTTACAGTATGCTTCATAAATCTTTTATGTATCATGAAATTCTTGGAATATGATTTTACCTGTTGCCACAGGCAAAGTTTCAGGAATCAAAACTCAATTTTTTTCTTTTTTATAATCCTGCACAATCATTATCATAAATAACATTATGAAAATACATTTTTAAGGGGAAAAGAAAAAAAAAATCTGTTTGAACACTAACATTTTTAACTGTGCAGCTTCATAAAACACAAACTTCCCTGCAGACGTATAATTAAAGAACTTACTGCAAAGGAAGTGAAGAAATCGAAAGAAAAAAGCAAACCACCAAGCTTACCATATTTGAAAAAGTCAAATCCAGCTTCCAGATTGCTCCATTGGTATCCTGAAGAAGCCTTTATGATAAAATAATTAGATAAAATAGTAGAAATGATTATGTTTGAGAAATTTATAAATCAATAGTGGGGTTTTGTATATTAGAAAATGTTGTAACTTTGCAATTTTGTGTCACGGCTGTTCTGTAACCAGTGTTGCAATGATAGTCTTAGTAGCAAAAACCTATGTGTATGGGTGGATTTAGAAAGGCATGTACTGGAGACTATACCCAAGTAGAACCTATGTGTATGGGTGCATTAGAAACGCATGTACTGGAGACTATACCCAAGTAGAACCTATGTGTATGGGTGGATTAGAAAGGCATGTACTGGAGACTATACCCAAGTAGAACCTATGTGTATGGGTGCATTAGAAACGCATGTACTGGAGACTATACCCAAGTAGAACCTATGCATAAGGTAGCCAGAAGAGCATAGCAGAAGCTGATAAGAAAATGCTAGCGTCCACACAAGGGTTGGGATATATCCAAGTAAGGAAAAGGTAAAGAGGACAACCTGAGGAAGGCTTCTTACTTCATCTGAGGAAGACTCCTTCCTTCATCGGAACGACCACCAGACGACCACCAGAGGGGGCTGCGCAAGCGTAGAAGAGGCTGATGTGGTAACATTCCTGATGTGGCAATCCTTAATGCATATGCATTAGCTAATGTTGTAATCCGTGTTAAACGTGTATAAATTGCGAACGCGATGCGACGAGGTTGGAACCAGATTTGGGTGTGTACCCCTGGTTTCCCAGCGCTGCAATAAATCACCTCATATAACCATTCCAGTGGTTATGTGTTTGTTCCCACACTAACATTTTGGTGACCCAGATGGGACCTCACGGGCATTGCTGAGGCGGATCGCGCCTCGATCCTGCTCCAGCCGGCACCGAGAGATTCTCGGGGAGCCATCGACCACGACCGACCTCCGCTGCTCACAACGGACCTCTGACATGGTAAGAAAGGTGCTTTTGATTTGGGTTATGGTACCGATTTCTAGTAAATGTACGGTATTGACCTTTGGTAAAGGTCTGGTAAAAGCCTGCCTGTTATATGCAGCGAAAAGGCTGCGTTTGGCTGGGCTAGTAGTAAAGCCTGCCTGTTAGACACAGCAAAAGCTGCGCTTGGTTGGGGCTAGAGAGCTCTCGGGGTAAAAGCCTAGGCGCCGTCTGTTAGACAGTAGCGAAAGCTCTGCAGGTTCGGCAAACGTGGTTTGGTATAAATTGTGTAACATATTGGGGTGTGTGTGCGTGTTGTGAGAGAAACTTGTTTTAGAGATCTCTGTATTTACAAAATGCCGTCGATTCCTAAGTCGTCTACATTAGGTTGTATCTTAAACCATTGGAAGGAGGGTGGATTCGAGCAAAGCATGCGGAAAAGTAAACTGATTATTGTAATGTCTGGTGGACGCAGTATGAACTAGAAGATCAGGAAAAATGGCCTGAGAATGGAACTTTACAGTATAATACTATCTTGCAGTTGATGTTGTATTGTAAAAGGGAAGGAAAATGGGATGAAGTACCATATGTGGATCTTTTCTTTACCTTAAGAAACAATGATAAGTGGCAGAAATCTTGCAGAATAATGGTTGTTAAGGCAAGCAATGCTGGAGAGTGTAAGGGTTGTGTTGGAGAACAGGAATGTGTGAAATGCCTTGCCTTAGGGAATAGTCGACATCAAAAGGATGAGGAAGATCTCCGTTTGTTAGTAGCTCCGCTAGTGACAAATGAAGAAAGGGGGGAGCAGGAGGAAAGTGATAGTGATCTTGAGAGTGAGGAAGGGTGTGAAAATAGGGGAGGTCAAGAAATAAATCCCCCTGTCACCCCAGTCTCACACAGAACTCGCCGGAGGGGAGGGCGAGAAGGAAAAGCACAGCCTCAAGCAGCTAGTGCGGTGCTTGCTCCTTTAAGGCAAGGAGTCAGAACTGGGGGACCAGTGTACGTTAAAGTACCTTTCTCTCCCAGGGATTTGGTTATATGGAAACAATCAGCAGGAACATATAGAGAAAATCCTGATAAAGTAGCTCGAGTAATGAAAATGATTATGAAAACTCAAAACCTGGACTGGGATGATATACAAGTGCTTTTAGATACCCTTATGGACTCAACAGAAAAAGAGATGGTGCTGCAAAGTGCTTGGGAGAGGGTCCGGGAAGATATAAGACAGGGATTAGTTACGGGAAATATAGATGAAAACTTCCCAATGGAAGACCCGATGTGGGATTATAACACACAAGGAGGAATGAGAAATTTACAGAGATTTCAAGACTGGGTAGTTTTCGGAGTACAACATGCTATGCCCAAAATGATAATTTGGTCAAAATTGTATAATGTTAGACAAGAGAAGGCAGAATCACCATCTGCCTTTCTAGAGAGACTTAAAGAGACAGCAAAGAAATATACAGATTTAGATGTGGAAACGGAACAGGCTAAAGCACAATTAGCCTTGATTTTCCTGGGGCAGTCTCAAGATGATATCAGAAAGAAACTGCAAAAACTAGAAGGGGCAGATAACCTGGACAGACTGTTAGAGGTGGCTTGGAAGGTGTATAATAATCGGGAAAAAGAGAGCTCCCGGAGACAACAACAGAATTTACTGGCAGTGATACAGGGAACAGAACAAGGTTTCCCTAACCCTAGGGGAAGAGGACGAGGAAATATGCGAGGACGGGGACAAGGCAGAGGATTTTATAATCCAAGGATGGGAATGAGCACAGAAAGAATAGGATATAATCAATGTGCACTTTGCAAGCAGGAAGGACATTGGAAAAATGAATGTCCATCCGGGGGGGCAGTTCATGTCTCCAAGAAATCTCTTTGCAGGATCCAACATAGCTAAAACAATGGTGTTGGGGGAATTTGATAATCAGAGCTGACTAGGCCGAGTAGAAAATAAGGAGCCCCTTGTAAAAATCCAATTAGGAGAGTAAGAAGTAAAATTTTTAATAGACACAGGGGCCACTTATTCAGTTTTAAATGATTTACACGGAAGAATAGGAAAGAAAACAATGACAATTGTGGGAGCCACAGGGAAAGAACCCCTGCAACCCCTAGACTTACGATTTAGAGGAAAAGAATTGACACATGAATTTTTATATGTGCCTGAATGTCCCATTCCTCTATTGGGATGGGACTTATTAAGTAAATTGGATGCTACAATTGCTTTTGAAAACAGCAAATTGATAATGCAAATCCCTGAATCCAAACCAGGACAGATTCTAGTTCTCAAAGACAAACCTATTCCACAAATTCCAAAAGAAGTGGAACAGGCTGTAATACCGACAGTCTGGGAAACCGAAATCCTGGGAAAATCAAAAGCAGCTCAGCCGATTGTAGTAGGATTAAAAGACGGAGCTAAACCAGTAAGGATTAAACAACTGCTTGAAGAAAGATATGGAATTATAAAAACAACTGAGAAATTTTTAAAATACCAAATTTTAGAAGAATGTGAATCAGAATATAACACGCCAATTTTCCCAGTAAAGAAACCAAACTGTGAGTATAGGTAAGTACAAGACTTGAGGGCAATAAATGAAATAACAAAAGACATCCACCCGGTGGTGGCAAACCCTTACACATTGCTAACATCTGTGAAGGAAAAATATAAATGGTTTACAGTAACTGATTTAAAGGATGTCTTCTTCTGCATTCCTCTTGATAAAAATAGCAGGAAACTGTTTGCATTTGAATGGGAAAATCCACAGAATGGACGGAAAACACAATTGCCATGGACCAGACTTCCACAAGGATTCAAGAACAGTCCGACCCTATTTGGAAACCAATTGGCCAAGGAATTGGAAGCATGGACCACCCAAGGAGAAATACAGGTACCAAGATCACAATACCTTTTGTTACAATATGTAGATGACATTTTTATTGCAATAGAACAAAGGTCCCTGTGCATAAAGGTGACAACTGAAATTCTGAATCAGCTAGGCTTGAATGGTTATAAAGTCTCAAAAGGCACAAATTACATGCATGACTGTGCTGTATCTGGGATGTGAGATTTCACAAGGGCAGCGAAAACTGGGAATAAATCGCATAGAGGCAATCTGTGCCATCCCAGAACCACGAAACTTGCATGAACTAGAATATTTTTGGGCATGACAGGGTGGTGCAGATTATGGATAATGGACTATGGACTTATTGCCAAACCCCTGTATGAAGCCCAAAAATCACATGCCTTTGTTTGGGACAAACCACAGAAAGTGGCCTTCAAAAATCTGAAGGAGGCGTTAACAAAATCACCGGCACTGGGACTCCCAGATTTGACAAAAGGTTTTCAATTGTTTGTCCACGAAAGACAGAGGTTGGCAATGGGAGTATTAACTCAGAAACTCGGAAGCTGGAAAAGACCGGTGGGATATTTCTCAAAACACCTGGATCCGGTGAGTACAGGATGGCCCTCATGCTTGAGGGCAGTAGCAGCAGCTGTCATTTTGATCCAAGAAGCTAGGAAATTAACTTTGGGAAAACATATCGATGTGTTTGTGCCACATATGGTAACCACTGTTCTAGAACAAAAAGGGGGGCATTGGTTGTCCCCTAGCCGGATGATGAAATATCAGGCAATCCTAATGGAACAGGATGATATAAACTTGAGAACTACTAATCTGCTAAACCCAGCAGCTTTTCTAGGAACTGACCTAGAAGAAGGAACTCTTGAACATGACTGCATAGAAGTCATCGAACATACATATGCAACCAGAACGGACTTAAAGGATGTACCTCTTGAACGACCAGACTGGGAACTCTTCACAGATGGAAGCAGTTTTGTGGAGAACGGGACACGATACGCAGGGTATGCTGTGACAACGCAACAAGAGGTAGTCGAAGCCAAAGCACTGCCTCCTGGAACATCGGCCCAATGGGCAGAATTAATAGCTCTCACGAGAGCGTTGGAACTGAGCAATGGCAAAAAGGTAAATGTATGGACAGACTCAAAATATGCATTTGGTGTGGTACACATTCATGGAGCATTATGGAAAGAACGGGGACTTTTATCCTCACATGGGACTAACATAAAGTATCAAAAGGAAATTTTAAAATTAATAATTGCTGTGCAAAGACCTAAACAGGTAGCCATCATGCATTGCAAGGCGCATCAAGGAGGAACTTCAAAGATATCTGAAGGAAATACATTGGCAGATCGGACGGCCCGACAAATAGCCTGGAGGGTATGGAACATGATGGCTTTGATACCTCTGAAGGTAAGCCCGCTCCACACCTATCTTCCATAAAGTCCAAACTATTCAAAAGAAGATGAAAAGTTAGCAGGACTCTTAAAAGCCCAAAAGAACTCTGAAGGGTGGTATGTAACAACAACAGGACAAGTAATAGTGTCACCGACAATAATGCGGAAAATTCTACAAACTGAACATCAGAAATGTCATTGAGGTGCAGAAGCATTGGTAACTTATTTAAAACGAGGAATAATTTCCACACAGATGTTAACTATGGCAAAAGCAGTGGGATCGAAATGTGAAATTTGTTTGAAAAACAATCCAGTCGTAAAAAGACAAGTTGAAATGGGAAGAATTAGAGTAGGAATGGAACCAGGAGATTATTGGCAGGTTGATTTTGCGGAACTACCGAAGGTACAAGGATACAAATATCTGTTAGTAGGGGTTGACACTTTTTCTGGATGGCCGGAGGCCTTTCCCCGTCGCACCTATCAAGCAAAAGAAGTGGTGAAGTGGTGGCTTAAAGAAATCATTCCACGATTTGGAGTCCCTTTAGGGATATCATCAGATAGGGGTCCACATTTTATTGCAACCACAGTACAAGAAGTTAGTAAACTATTAGAAATATCATGGAACTTACACACTCCTTGGAGGCCCCAATCTAGTGGACAGGTAGAAAAGATGAATCAGACAATAAAGAGACAGATCAGTAAAATATGTCAGGAGGCTAAAATAAAATGGCCACAGCATTACCTATAGCTCTGCTAAGAATCAGAGTAAAACCCAGAAGCAAAATGTCAGTAAGCCTCTATGAGATCCTCTATGGAAAGCCGTATGAAGCGCCGGAACCCAACCCTAATACCCCTATTAAAGGGAATCAGGATGTTTATAATTACGTGCTGTCTCTGTCTCGGTAGAACCTTAACTCAACTGCGGAGCACTCTGGTGTGGAATAGGCCACTGTCCCTGGAAAATCCAGCACATGACATCCAACCAGGAGACCAAGCATACGTCCGGAACTGGAACGAAGAACCATTAAAAGAACGGTGGGACGGACCGTACCAAGTACTGCTAACTACGTTTACAGCAGTAAAGGTAGAAGGGTGGATTCTTGGATACATTATACACGAGTAAAGAAAGTTCCAAAGGTTTGGGAAACACAGATACTAGGCCCTACGAGACTAAAGCTGAAATGTAAATAAGATGTCTGGGTTCTGTTACAAAACTTTGATTGTCATCTGGTCACTAACACAGCTGGTATCTATTCCTATCCTAGGAATTCCTCAGAAAAATGTTTTGACAAAACTTAAAACAAGATGCCATTCTGACCTGCAAGTTCACAGAAACCATTCCGATAAGACCAACACTAATAAAGGTAGTTTGGGAAAAGGTAAATGGTCCTATAGGACTGAATCTGCAATTGGCCACGGCAAAATTGAAGTTATGGGAAAAAGGACTAAAAGATCAGTGAATTCAGCACAGATAATCCAATCATACCGTCGAAATCCTGAGGAAAATTTAATGATAGGTCTGACTGAGGATTTCTCAAAAATGAAAAACATGAGCAGAATAACAGCATGTTTGCCGATACCCAAAGCAGCAGGAGAACCAATTGAATGGGAAATAATAACATTTCCACTTCCAGAAACCAATAAAACAGTGGCCTGTCAGGAAAAAGAAACAATAAAGAATGTGACAGTGACAGAATATCAAAAGGAAGGAGTTCTAGGTGCCTCTATAACAGAATCATTGTGCAAAGAGAAATTAAACACCCAATTCACTACCTATGAAGAAGGAATTGGAAAATGCATTTATGATAAAGAAATTAAAATAATTCAACAAATAAGAGAAAAGACATGGGAGTGCCAAGAGAAAAATAACTCACAGGAAACTTGGGATACAATTTGGTCAGTAGGTATCCTGCAAAAATTTCAATATGGAGGAGAGACACCTTGGTGTTTAAGATGGACCAGAAAACAAAGCCTAACAGAGGACATGAGCTCATATAGAGCCAGTCGAAACAGGACTGAGAGTGTCCCCTGGTGGAATTGTACTAAGGTTCTGGATTGTGATACCGATCCTGAAACAATTACAATGCCCCCTGTTAGAACTGCTTTGATGGCAGGATGTGCATGCCGAGGACTGAAAGTTGGAGGAGAAATAATCAAGGCCCCTATTAGAACTCCATATCTAGTAAACTGTAGGTATTCGACAGTACACAGTATGGGACATTTGGTATGGGCAACTAGCGATGGAACCTGGACTACTCACCTATCAATGGAAGGTCCAGTTAGAGAAATCACTTTAGGGTTACCCACACTCTGTCCAATATGGAAGAAGTCACCGTTCAGAGGCAAATTGGAAACTTTACAAATCTGAACAAAAAGGAGTGTAGACGATGAAGATACTTGGCAGACCTGAGCATACCAAAAGGCCTGTCCAGAGTCACGAATTTTTGACATGAAGCTCAGGCTGACGTCCTTGCCAACATGAAGTTCATTCATAGGCTCCACCTCCAGTAACCCTGTATCATCCACAGAATCAGCAGCATCTATTGTCTCAAAGTTCCACAGCTTCATGGCATTGGAAATATAAGAAACCATGAAACAAATGGGTTTTTAAGTCCACGTTATGTTTTCATACAAAATTAATACGAAAATTCAAAATTATAAGAAACCAGGAGAGTATGGATTCTACAGGTACAGTATAAAACCTGCCATATCTGCCTCACTGCTTTGAAAGTAACCTAGAACAGTGATAACCATCAACTACTATAATACATTTGGGTGCAATGCAAAGTACATGTGAAAGTTCTCTGTCCAACTCTGAAAGAACAGTGGCTTAAATTCAGCCTTGGCACTAGCAGAGCTATACATGGCAGCCTTAGAAATACAGAGAACAAATGGTATCTGCCTGCCCTCAGCACTGCTCATACTGAAGCAGCACAGAAGGAAGAATGGGAAATCTAACACATTCATATTCTGCTCTGTGGGATAAGGACAAGACATCAGTTGGCAACCTTATAACTAAGGGAATTTTCCTAATGGAATGAATGTCAATTATAAAACACAACAACAAAAACTCCAGGGTGTTTGAAACCCTCCACTGTCTGTAACAGTCAGCTTCCCATTCATTTTCTAAGTTTTTTCACACATCAGCAGAAGACACATCATGTCTTCCCTTAGAGAGGAAGCAAACAAGACTGTAAAATCCTTGACAATTGACAGGTGAGAGCAGACCCTGGTAGCATGGATAAGGAAAACTTTTTGACCTTCATTTACAGAATTATATTTTAAGTTAAGGATGAGATCACCTCCCATATGAAGACAGGCGGCGAAAGTTGGGGCTGTTCAGCCTGGAGAAGGCTGCATGGAGAACTCATAGGAGCCTTCCAGTATCTGAAGCAGGGCTATAAGTATGCTGGAGAGGGACTCTTCTTTAGGGACTGTAGTGATAGGACAAGGGTTAACAGGTTAAAACTTAAACAGGGGAAGTTTAGATTGGATATAAGGAAGAAGTTCTTTAGTGTAAGGGTGGTGAGGCACTGGAATGGGTTGCCCAGGGAAGCTATGAATGCTCCATCCCTGGCAGTGCTCAAGGCTGGGTTGGGCAGAGCCCTGGGTGACATGGTTTAGTGTGAGGTGTTCCTGCCCATGGCAGGGGGGTTGGAACTAGATGATCTTAAGGTCCTTTCGAACCCTAAATATTCTATGATTCTATGTTTTTTCTTTTAATTGTTCCTCTATTTCAGTATATATACATCTCTGAGATGTTAGTTAATTTCTATGTCATTTTAATATTAATAATCTAGCTTTCAAATATGTCAAAAATTAATTTCAAATATTGCTGTAGTTTATCCTTTGAAATAATACCAAATATGTTAATAAGCCTGAAAGTTATAAAGATTAACCAAAACTACACATAAAAAAGATGTTAGAATGCTGGAAAAAACAAAGCTGTTAGAGAATCACTGAAAATTATTTTGATTTACTAGAGTAAAAGGTGACTTATTTACTACTATTAAACAGAGAATGTTGCATGAACACTCTCTAATTCAAACATATACACTGTGGTGATGTGATCTTACTCTGTTCTACAAATTTATTCCCAGAAAGAAACTACACAGCAAAACTGCCTCCACAAATAAGCCTGGGTAAAGGAAACATGTAACATTTGCCTGCTGACCACACATTTGCACACTCAAAGGCATGAAAGAAAAGATGAAAAACTCACCCGAATGAAGCCATCTTTTCCAACAGTGAAAAGTTCTCCTTCCTCCAGAATTAACTGGCTGACAGGGCCACTGTGACAGGGCTTTCGTTCATGTCGACAGAGTTCTACTTTAATGAGGCCCCCTTCCCAAAGCAGCAAGTTGCCCCACTCAGTCCCTGAGATAACCTTCAATACAAATGAAGATAAGCACATGAGCACCTGCACTTAACCATGCAGAAATATTGGCAAAAATCTGGTTAACATTTGTGGCTTCCTTCCATGAAAGCATTAAATTGATAGCAGTGTACAGATATTTGCAAGAGAAGGCGTAAAGGATGAAAAGATTCAACTTTTTACCAACGCGAAATAATTTACATGGACTGAAATGCATGGAAATGTATTTAACATCCATTGATGTTAAATGCATGTAAAGATTCAGGCTAATAGTTTTTGTATTTCTTTACTAATGTTTTCACTACCCCATTAGAGGACTCTCAGTTCTAAACCAGAGATCTTTTGTCTGGACATTGCAATACTAACCATACTTTTCAATTATTACAAAGCAAGCCAGGATTTTGGTAAATGAATGTTAGTATTAGCTTATCAGAGCAGTGCATTGAGAGTGTAACTCAGGTCACTTTGAAGCAAGTAGTAACTCTGCAACTTACTCAGTAGACCTTATATCAAACCCTGAGAGAAAACTTAAATCAATTGAACTTTTTCTTATTTACCTTCCCATCAGGCAGCTCCACATAACCTATAATGTCAGACACTGCTGTTTTTCCAAACTTGCCCAAAGTTCCTTGTAACTTGAGACCAGTGAATGTGAGAGCCATCTTCCAGAACCTGAGCATAGAAAAAACATCCCTGTCTGACACAAGATCTCCTAAACACACTCTCAGACATTGCAATAATCTTACCAGGGATGATGCCTCTAAGTAAGGGCTGCTTATTTATTATTCTTTTTATAGGGGACCTCAGCATTTTCTTTTGAAAATGAGATCAAGCTTTGTAACTTGAATGTAACTACCCCAACATTTCCCTATACTACTCCTATGGTATCCTATTTCAGAGCCACCTTACAACCAAACTATAGAGCAAATCTCAGATTTCGACCTGATTCCTCTGTTAAAATTCAAAGAAACGCTAGATGTGCTATAATTTTAAAGGTATAATTTAATCTATTTTAGATATTTATTACAATAGCATCCAAGTCATATCTCAAGTCTCTGCTGTGTTAACATTGAACACTGGATAATTACAGAACAGAGAACTAATCCCTGTCCCAAACTGATTAAAACTGTGGTTTATTTTTTATCACAAAAGGATCCATGAACAAAGAGGGGAGTGTACAGAAGCATATCATTTGTAAGGCTTTCTTGCAGGCTTTTGGTGGTATCAGATTGTTTCTAATCTATGACTTGGCAACCAGTACTAATGGGTGCCCAAACAGAAGATGAGTTCAAGAAATCAAAGATAGAAAGCCCAGAGGGCACAGGAGGCATATGCTTTGTTACCAGTTAAAAGACATGTATATATAAAATATCTTGTACTCTCTCCGGTGATTGTTGAAATTACAATAATGGAGCTAGTAGTACCTTCAGTCAACATCAAGCATCACCCTTTTTGGACAGCAAAGGTGACAAAAGACTTGGCTGACTAGCTAAAGGACTTGAACTTTCTCATTTCCGTAATTGTAATGGCCAAGTAGCACTCCTCATTAGTCTGTGTTTGCTAATGATACATTCTTATTAATCGTCTTGTACCTGTTATGACTTCAGAGGTGATATGTATTAATCCTAATCAGTAAACCTACCTGATGTGTCCTACTCCACATGTAGTCAGTTGTTCTTCATTATCAGCAGAAAATGTGACCTTGTAAACATCCTGTGAAAAAGCTTTTGACCTCAACACAATCTTTTCTTGCTTCCAGTCCCAGATAGTCAGCATGTAGTCAGGGCTGCTCCCAACACTGGCCAGCAAAGTGCCATCATGTTTGAAATCACCAAAAACATAGGCTTCCTCTGTTCCGTCTGAAGAAACACACAAGCCCCAGTACGCACACACAGAAAAGAGGAAAAAAACAATAGGAAAATCTACTTAGAAGATCAAGTTTCACTGCAATTATTTTGCCCTAGGTAATAGCTTTCAGTTGGCTATTTCCAGTAAATAAGTTTCATCCCATGCAATAGCGAAAAAGCTTAAAAACAGTGTTTTCTATTTTGCTGTGAAGGACCAAAGGTTGTATTGCCTTCCAAACTTATAGTGACTTACTACTCCATCTGCTGGGATCGACAAATAGCAGCCCATTTGTGTAAAATAAAAATAGAACTTTTTACACTACCTCGCAGTATTCTGTAGGGCCTCAGTGAAGGATAATCGTAGATGATGAGGTTTGGCTTCCTTCCTTTTTCTCCTACTGCAAAGTACTGCTTAGTAGGGTGTGCCTTAAAAAAGCAAAAGTCCCATTGCACACTGTAATGACACCTTTGTCTCTATCCTGCTAATTATTGAGTAATTGTATTTACTTATTCATTAGTCAAAAGATATTGCCATAAATACGAGGTTGCATTTTTCTGTGTGTGTATTCTGAACTTCCCATCTATTGCTCAATATCAGAATGAAGCCACTATGCACATAAAATGGTAAAACCACTATGCACACAATATATTGCATTTAGAATGCAGAGCCATGACAAATTGTGAAATAACTGGCTTTATTAAGCATTCTTTTATTATTCCTACCTCACTCAACCACTAGCTGATCTTTCCATAAAAGCCTTTGCAACAGCAGCCATCTACTTCACCAGACAGCTGCAGAAGAGCCATCCTGAATGACACTGTTAGATGTACTGTAATTCCCCAGAAAAGGCTGCTTACAATGGAGCACAACAGTGTGAGGCTGGTATTGTGCAAGCCTTACTGATGTGGAATAAAACTGAGAGATGTCAGAGTCATTCATAGGGCAAGGTGCTTCAAATACAGAGATATCATTTGAGAGTCCAAGCTTTTGGTAAGAGTTTACTAGAGTGAAACAAGGTACTTTTTCTCTTCATTTGTCTAGGAACTAGAGTCTCTAAATTTTAATTGCAAGCAAAGCTCTATACTAGTATCAGCTGTGAATAGGACAGCTGAAGAGCTAAGAAAAAAAGTCTTTTAAGGTACCTGAGTTTGGGACTGAGGTATATAGATTATTCA